GGTGGTGGTGGGGCGGGGACGGGTTGCAGTCTGCCTCAGTTACTGTTTGAGCTCCTAGTATGTGGCAGATACGAGGCATCTGCCAGGGTCCCTGCCTTTCTGGGGGTCATCGAGCCAGACTCCCTCATTTCACAGTGGGAAAACTGGGGCCCAGAGTAGAGGAGGGACAGTGCACCCGTATAAGCCCCGCTGGGTCATCAGAGGAGCAGAGTATGTGATAACGTCAGGCACAAGGTGGTGATTTCCAGGAGAGAAGTCATGACAGCATGCACTTATTTCTTGCTTTCTGCGTGTCGGCACTGCTCCAAGCCGGCACTTTTCATACCTTAGAATTAGGTCATTATCCCCTTCCAGTAACCCTACCACTTTATAGATGAAGAAACTGAGCGGCAGAGAGGTCAAAGAATTTACCTTCTGTTGTATAGCTCATAAGAGCTGCAGAGCCAAGATTGGAACCTGCACTATGGCCCCAGGGAGGCAAGGGTGATATAGGGTGAGAGCAGATGGGGTTGTTGTCTCCTGTTACATAGATGAGGACACTGAGCTTCTGGGCCCAGCCTGGCCTTTGTGCAGCCTTGGACAATCCACCCTGCCTTTTGGAGCCTCATTTTCGTCATCTGAAATGACTCATCTCTCCGCATAGATGTAAGGATATTAAATGAGACAATGTACAGAAAACACAAGCACAGTGTTTTGTGCAAGGTGAGTGTTGGAGAAATGAGACCCCCTCCCCTTAAAGATCCAGTCTGGGCCTGGCTGACCCACACTCCGGGCTCCTGCCCCTGGCTTAGAGCCCACATGGTCGGCGCACAGCACTTGGTTGGTGTGATGGGAGCCACCAGGTGCTTAAGGGTTTAAAATAGCTGAAGTGGTCACAGCTGTTGGTAGATTCAGGGCCGGAGGTCTGGCCATCACGGCTGCTCCCACTGCTCCCCTGGGGCCCGGAAGAGCTCCAAGTCATCTCACTGTGCCTTTTGGGGAATGCCAGCAAAGGGCAGGCTTAGCCTGGGTCTGTTCTGGCACTGATCCACATCCCCCTGACTCCTGCCCCTGCCAAGCTTGTGGCTGGAGCGCCTGTGCTGGGAGGGGCTCTTTTGAGCCATTTTCTGCCATTGTCCATTGCTGGGGGTCTTCTCTGTGCCAGGCCTTGGGAGCATCTGGGAGGTGATTCAGACACAGGACCAGCCTGCCTTAAAGCCTGTCGGTGGCACCACCTGTGCAAGATTTAAAAAGTAAGAAAAAAATTTACACAAATAATACTTGATCATTGTGGAAAAACCAGAAAAGCAAAATCAGACAGGCAAAATCAGATAAGCAAAATTGAAGGAATTAGGATCATCATGGCTCTAGGATCCAGAGAAGATCACTGTTAATTTAAAAAAAAAATGTTGTTGAGAATATACACAGCAGAACACACACCCATTCAACAGTTTCTATATGTACAGTTCAGTGACATTCTTCAAGTTGCGCAACCATTCTCACCTTCTCTTTCCTAATTGTTCCTCCCCCATTGACATAAACTCACTACCCTCTAAGTTTCCTATCTAACCTTTCAAGTTGCTGCTGTCAGTTTGATCCCATATAGGTAGTTCTTTAAAAGAGCACAATGCTCATGGCAGACATCCACTGTTAACTTTTTTGAGTGTGGTCTTGCAGGGCCTGCCCGGGGGCAGTAACGATGCTGCTGCAGCTGACCAGACTCACATTTACTGAACCATACACTATGCCAGGGGCTGTTCAAAGGGTTTTGCACCTTTTAACTTGTTTAATCCTCACAATAATCCAGTGAGGTGGGGACTATTATTATCCCCAATTTACACAGAGGCACTGCCCAGCCTGATGGCGAAGAGCATAAGCTTTGAACTTGGACAGACCTTGGGTCAAGTCCAGCTCTGCCCTTCACTAGCTAGGGGTCCTTGGGAAATTGATGACTTCTCTGGGTCTCAGCTTCTTCCTCTGTAAGGGAGATAATGGCAGTACTCATCTCATAGTGTTGTAAGGAATAAAGGAGATGATACACAGTCAAATGCTTAGCATATTGTTCGGCACAGACTCAAGTCCCAATAAATGTTAGTTATTTTCTACCAAATGCTGTCAAGTGGACTTTGACTCATGGTGACCCCACGTATATTAGAGAAGAACTGTGCTCCATAGGCTTTTCAATGGCATATTTTTTTCTTATTTTTTCCCATACAAGAATTTATATGTACATTGTCATGTGACTCTAATTGCTCTCCCCATACTGTGACAGCACACTCCTTTCCACCCCTGATTCCCCATATCCATTCAACCAGCTCCTAACCCTCTCTGCCTTCCCATCTCACCTCCAGACAGAAGCTGCCATTTAGTCTCTTGTATCTGCTTGAGCTAAGAGGCGCACTCCTCACGAGTATCACTTTATGTCCCACAGTCCAGTCCAATCCCTGTCTGAAGAGTTGGCCTTGGAAATTGTTTTAGTTCTAGGCTGATAGAGAATCCAGGGGCCATGCTTTCCGGGATTCCTCCAGTCTCAGATCATTAAGTCTGGTCTTCTTACTAGAATTTGAGTTCTGCACTCCACCTTTCTCCTGCTCCATCGGAACTGTGTGTTGTGTTCCCTGTCAGGGTAGTCATTGGTGGTAGCCGGGCACCATCTAGTTCTTCTGGTCTCAAGCTGATGAAGTTTCTGGTTTATGTGGCCCTTTCCATCTCTTGGTCAATGACATATTTTTCAGAAGTAGATTACCAGGCCTTTCTTATGAGGTGCCTCTGGGTGAACTCAAACCTCCAACCTTTTGGCTAGCAGCTGAGTGTGTTAGCTATTGGCACCATTCAGGGACTCCTGTATCCTCCACCAAAAAATCAAAACACAAAACAAACAAACACACACACAAACAAACAAACCAATGCCATTGAGTCCTGTTATTAGCAACATCTATTTATTTTCAGAACCAGGAGCCCTGAATCTAGAC